CAATCTCAGCAATTTTAAAACACGGAAAACGTGAAGATTTGATACCTTATGTGGACAAGCTGCTGAAGTGGGTAGTTGGCCTACAGTATAAGGATAGCAATGACTTTCTCAAATATAACAGCTATATAAAGATTGTGCAACGCATTGGGTTGGTATATTTAAAACCAAGATTGGCAGGTTGGCGGTATAAGCGGGGTGAGACATATATAAATAAAGTTTGTTAGAATTTACATACATATTGAGACACAAAATTGTATCAATCATTAGGAACACGTTCGCTGGCAATGAACTTGAATAAAACTAATAGCGCAGCTACGGATGAAAGTGCAAACGGAAATGATCAAGATCCTGAGGGTGAAGGCGGCGATGGAGAAGAAATAGTTGTGCCTGATGCCATCGAGGAAGTTATTGAAGAATTACTGCAAGCATTGCGTAGCGGGGGCAGTGATATACGCTGGAGCGCTGCTAAAGGCGTAGGACGCGTCACCAATCGTCTATCCAAAGAGCTTGCAGATGAAGTAATTGGCTCGGTCATAGACATACTGAACCTATTAGAACCACATGAGGCTTGGCATGGTGCTTGTTTAGCGTTGGCTGAGTTGGCAAAACGAGGACTACTTTTACCACACCGTTTGCGCACGTTGGTCCCCCTGTTGATGCAAGCCCTATTCTATGACGAAATGAAGGGCTATATGTCAGTTGGACAGCATATTCGAGATTCCGCTTGTTATATGTGCTGGGCATTTGCACGCGCTTACAATCCGGCGGATTTTCAACCATTTGTCGAACAAATATCTTCGGGACTGCTGACAGTGGCTGTTTTTGATCGTGAAATAAATTGTCGACGTGCCGCAGCTGCTGCCTTCCAAGAAAGCGTCGGTCGTCTTGGAAACTTTCCACATGGAATAGAAATTTGCACAGCTACCGATTTCTTTTCAGTAGGTATGCGACAAAATTCTTACTTAAAAGTCTCGGATTTCATAGCGCAATTTGGGGAGTACCAAAAACCCTTAATCGATCATTTGGTTGAGAAAAAAGTAAATCACTGGGACACTACAATACGAGAATTGGCAGCGAAGGCTTTGTATAATCTGACATTTCGTGCGCCTGAGTACATGTCTGCTGTAGTGCTAGGCCAACTTTTTGGAAAGACAGAATCTATTGACATCAATATGCGACATGGGACTGTTTTGGCAATTGGTGAAATAACGTTGGCGTTGAGCGAGATTGAGCAAAAAGAAGAGGGGATCGCAAGCAAAAAATTGCTCACGAATCAATTGTTGTCCGAGCTCAATGAATTGTTGCCAACCTATGTGCTGCGTGACTCGTTCCGCGGAATGAGTGGTGAAATAATGAAGCACTGTTGCACAGATTTCATTAAGAATTGCAGTGTGGCACGCATAGAAACATCAAAAATGTGCCTGGGTGAGTTAATTAAATATTAAACAAATATGCAGATAGTCTTTATATAATGTCTTCGACAAATTCCTGAATGCTGGCAGTATATTGTGGACAAATGTTTGCTAAATAAAGCTTTGGCAATACGCGAGGCCGCAACTGATGCCTTTGCGGAGCTTTGTAGATCCTACTATAAAGGCGATGAGCATGCTGCTACTAATGCTGAAATTATTCATGGCTATCTCAAAGGTGCCAACAATCACTTAGAAGAATACCTACGAATGGGTTATATAAGCGCTTTGGGCGCATTGTCTGACTTTATGATAGCTCCACATTTAGACGATATACTTGAGAGTCTGATAAAACATTCGCTCACGCCAACACAAGCGGTTATTACAACTGGTGAGTTGTTGAATCAACATGAGAATCTTGTAACGGGTACGTGGAGTGAGGCCAGACGTGATAGTGTCAAGGCTCTCAGCCATGTCGTCCACACATTGGGATTCGATAATAATACTGAAGGTGAGCTGTATAGCAGATTCTGTATGTACATATAGAGTAAGGTAACTGAAGTTTGGAAATTTTAAAAAAATGTTACTCTTTGAGACTGAGTAATAAATTTAATTTCTTTCTTTAGTCTCCTTTGGCAATCCAAAGTACTTTAACAAAGTTGTGGATTGCTTTCTGCAGTCCTTGGATGAATATACATTAGATAACCGTGGTGACATTGGCGCTTGGGTGCGCGAGGCGGCAATGAATGGTATGAAGACTGAAGTAAAATTAATGTAATGGATTTATAATGAATGATAAATTAAAAATATGTTTTTAGGGCTCTTCCAATTAATCACGACTTGCCCAAAGGAATTACTACAGCCCGAGCAGGTTCACAAAATTATACTTGGTTTCATGCAACAGGCTGTTGAGAAAATAGATCGCACACGTGGCCTGGCCGGGCGTCTGTTTTGCCAGATAATAACCACCACGCCACATATACCACATATTCGCCATCATGCGCATTTACTAGAGGTATTCCCTGCGGATTTCAATAGTGTATTGTGGCTATTCGCCGACCAGACATTCCCGCTGTTCTGTTCCTTGCTCGAATTGCCCGACTATTCGCAGAGATTGTTGCTCGGGTTGAGCGCAAGCATTGGACAGTTGACTGAAAGTTTGGTAAGTTATTTA